AGAGTACCTTATACAGATTGCCATGCTTGGGAACATATGGCTCGGTCATCAGGTTTCATTTAGAAAAGGGACAATTAACTGGGGGGAGGGGCATGAGAACTGGTGAACCAAGTTTCCTTCAATCTTTTCCATCCATGTGCAGAATAAATTTTATGTGCACCAAACATTTGCAAATGTGCACCACCGGTAGACACTAGAAACCTAACTGTGGGCACGTTGCTAATCAGCTAGGTGGCAAGTGAATCTCTCATGAGCAGCACAACAGCACACAACTTACAGGGAATACTGCTGGTGAGTGTGGAGAGATCCTTTCCACACCGTCACTACCAACAGGATTGTAATTCCTGAATAGGGAATTGAGTAAGAGCTCTAATTCAACAGGCTGCCACCTGCTAACACCTAAGTTGCCTCAGAGTTCTGAACTCAGCCATATGCCCAAAAGGCGTGGGAAGACTGGACAGAAAATGGCAAGGAGGGGTAGAAGCTATTCAGGGCTGGAAGGCAGGCCATTACTAAGCAAAAAGAAAGAAGGAAATGTAGCTAACACTCAGGTTCCATTATTACAAGGCAATTACTCAGCTGAATTTTAAACAGCAATTATAGAATTGGGGCAGCAGAAAGGGAAGGGGGCAGAACATTTAGCATAAGCAGTATAATCTGTTCTTGATGGAAGATTAATATATGTTAACCAAAAAAATCTCTCTGCTGTGGAGCCATAATCCCCTTGATAAAATTTGGGTGCTTTGAGAATTGGACGGCTCGCCCAAATGGACTGGACCTCTGTTCATTTCTTCCCTCTCTCCTCCCAGATGTAATTCATCCCTTCCTCACCATGAAGCCAACCAAAAGATTTCACTCTGAGGATAGCCCAGATGTAATTCATCCCTTCCTCACCACGAAGCCATCCAAAAGACTTCACTCTGAGGATATGGCCAACATATCCTATTCTTCCCTCCTCCATTCCACAGAGATTTGCACAAGTCAAAACTACAGGCATCTAAGAAACAAGATCAGACACAAGATCAACCTGCTTTGTGGCTTCCATACAAGTCTTAGCAAGAAGCTAAAGTGCTGAAGCCAGAGTGAGCAGCCTGGCTTCAAAATTCCCATCACATGAGCTCCACAGAGAGGAATTGCAGGCCAAGCTCAGAGGAGGCAGGCAGGAAAGGTGGAGTCTGAGCCCACATACTCTTGGCAAGGATTGCAGCTGCAGTATGGCAAAAGACAACCAAAACAGACCTTACCGGCATCCACTGCTTCAGAGACTGGAGTAGCCCTGGTTCTAATTGCCTGGCCCTCCCCCACGGAAAAGCTATGGGGCAGCAGTGACTTTTATATTTGGTAAGAGTCACTCCCTAGTCTAGAATTCAATTCAGGCACAGCAGGGACTCTTGAATATCATTGCACCATGACCCTGTTCTGACAACAAAAATTACCACATGACTTGGGGGGAGGGCAAGGAGACCAAAGCCCAAGCCTACCTAACACTCCCCACAGATACCAGTCAAATTGTGTTTCTGCCCAAGCTACTGATATTAGCGTATATTCGATTTCACAATTAGATGATAAGTGTGGGCTTATCATATTGACTACACACAACCGGCCCCCCCTTGCTGCCTCTGTATCCCAGAGGCAGCAGCATGTGGGGCTGGATGGGGTGGAGGGGGGGGCAGGGAGAGGAAGGAGCTGGTAAAGTGAAAAAGCCTTCCTCAACCACCACCTGAGCTCTAATGCAATTCCCTGAACATGCTTGCATCTTGTACATAACTCTTCCCCTTCCCCATTTACCAACCCTGTGACAAGGGCTTGCTGGCTGCTAGCGGCCCCGCTACTGCCATGCCCCATCAGAGCTTCCAGGGACAGGGGCTCGCCAGCTGGCAGCCCTGCTGCTGCTGCACTCCACTGGAGCTCCTCAGCCCTATTGCTGCCCCACATGGCCAGGGGCTCCACATGGTTCCGGGGCCTCCTGCTACTGGTGGCCCCGCTGCTGCCACGCTTCCCGGAAACAGGGCTTCCCAGACCCTCTGCTATCCTGCCTGGCTGGGGCTCCCTGGGACGGGGTTGCCTGGACTCCCAGCTGGTTTGCACTCTCCAATGCCGGGGCTCTCAGGTTCAGCCACACTCGTGGTCCAGATGTTGCTAGACTAGAATGTCACGGATTTAGGTTTGATACAGGGTTTCTCAAACTTTGTGATACCACGACCCCCCTCTAAGTTGCTCATAACCGCCCGGGGGGGTCGGAACCCACAGTTTGAGAAACACGGGTTTGACCTGTACTTTCAAAATGGCCGGCAATTTCCGTTTTTCTCAAAAAGACTGAAGCCACACATTGCCATCAGTGAAGCTGTCCTTTTCCAAAATGGTCATCAACTCTCATTGTTCCAAGCTGCTTTCAGGAAAAACGGTGGTCCCCATGCTTTAATGCAGGGGTGAGGACCCTCAAGCCCGGGGGCCGGATGCGGCCCCTGGCTTGCTTGGATTTGGCCCCCAAAGCTCAGGACTCCCCTCCTAGCATTGGGGAGCCCACACCTACTGAGAGCCTGGAGCACACAAAGTCTACTAACCTGGGCCCACTAAGCTCTGGTGTGTGAGGGAAATATGGGGAGTGTCTTTCTTCTGCTCAGTCGGGGGCCACGTCAGTGAGGCTATGAAGGGATGGTGTTGGCTTCTCACTTGTGTATGGCCCCTGACTGATTTTTCCATGGGTCAGCAGCCCCCAGCCCAAAGAAGGTTTAATGAGATAGAGAGATGTAAGCAAATCATGGTAACTATATTTGCTATAGATAGCTCATGGTCTCCATTCTGTTGAGAATAGGAAATGACAGCCATTTTGGAAGAGGTCAGTTCTTCATGGAATTATCTGAATCAAGTTATTTTTCACACTCTGCTGCAATTTTCCAGTTATGAATAGAAAAAAATGCACTATTAATGGAATTATCTGAATCAAGTTATTTTTCCACACACTGCTGCAATTTTTCAGTTATGAATAGAAAAAAAATGCACTATTCGCCCTAAAGAAATGCTTCATAACTAGCCTATACATGACGTGACAGAGTAATAACCATGAGACACGTGAAGAGTTAGTTCTAAAGGAATTCCGCAATTGTTGCATTGGGAGCCATAATAAAATTGCAAAAATTTCCCAGGACTAAAGAGTGCATTATAAGCAGCTCACTTGAAGGGGTAGGCGTGGGAGAGATATGACACAGGGTGCCCAGTCTCTCCAAGGACCCATTTATACATTTAAATTCATTCTGGGCCCTAAGAGTATGTGCTCTAACTTCAAGAAGGATGTGTTATATTTTTCCATACATTTAAAAAAAGGAATTCATTCTTGTTGTAAAGTGCAAAACTCAGTTCAGCCTTTGTATGGAGCCATGATGTGTACCTCCATAATAAGGCACTTGAGGATGCAGGCTGTATGTACTGGGTAAAGTAGATTAAGACGTGGAAGATGGGCACCTTAGAAAACAGAAGTGGCAAAACTTGGATGGAGAGGAGCAAGGTGAGTACAGATCAGTTGCTTGAAGCAATGATCAATCCAGTACCTACCCATCCAGAACATGGCTCAAAAGACACCAATGGGTACACCTAGCTCTGGAAATACTACTGGGCCCACTTTATGGCTCCATGGAAAAATCAAACATCCGGATTGTGATCTACAAATGTCTCCTCCCCATGATTGCACTCCCTTGTGCCATTTGGATTTGGAAAGGACTGGGAGAAAACAACAAGCATGGAAAGCCTAAGAGCACCCTCTGGCTGACTATCCATACTAGGAATGTTTGAA